TTCAAATAACATTGCTGTCTAGAAGTTAGTACAGTTTTTGTCTGAAATAAGCTGGACCACAATGCGTTGTGCCAGAGATGCACTTACAAACTATACAAAGGGTAATATTGCATGGATTTTACAGGAATTCGCCAACTTTATTAACCAACACCATTAGTCCAGTTAGTTGCAATCTAGCAAGTTTTAAAAATATTATTTTATTAAAGGAATGGGATTTTTATGTTACATTTTTTACTCCATGTAAAATAAGGGAAAAATAACTAAAACATTCATATGTTAAAATAGATTAAAATTAAAGCTATTTATTTACTTAGTTTAAAAAACAAAGAAAATCTTGAGACAAATACTAAAATTGCTGTGGTCGATATCTATAGAAACGTTTTCACTCCAAAAACGCAAAAAAAATCGTCTGACCGTCTATGCGTATGTATGTAAACAGGGTGACCATTTGAAAATTAAAAGAGACAAATTTGGACACTCCAGGTCATTTACGAAAAAATACTTGGACCCATCAATTTTGGAGTTTAGGGAAAAATATTTTGTCAGTTTCGCCACTTGAACGGAAACTCTCTAGCAGGGGTGAGACTCACCCCTAAAATCCAAAATGACGGTATTTTTACCGAGTTTTTAAATGCTACTGTCTTCCTGGCCATGATCTTTTAACGATTTTTATTATCTTTAAATGCTAACCAGTCACACGAATAAATGCTGGAAATGCTGGCCCGAGGCCTCCATGTAATAATAGAGGTGTTGTTCAAGAGGTGTTGTTTGAAGCAACTGTGGGGTGATTTGATGATATTTATCAATTATCCGTTGTCGCAAATTTTCCAGTAATGTTGGTTGGGTGGTATAAATTTCTTTAAATGGCTCTTTAAAAAAAATATAACGGAATTAGGTCCGGAGACCGCGAGGGTTACTCAATACTTCCTCTCCTTCCGATCTATTGACCTGCAAACGTTTAATTCGAATACTGACGAATAGTCAGTGTAATAGGGGGTGGCGCACAGTCTTGCTGGAGTGTATCTGCATTGCATATTCTTTAAATTAATATAATCATATTTTAATACAGTATTCCATTTTTACTGGACTAAATCGTGTCAACACAGCTTATTGTTAAAACAATGCTGCAATTTCAAAAGCATAATCTTCTTCACCGTAAACTACAACATCAGGGCTTATCCGTATAATCTGCTTGAAAGTAAGCATTTTTTATAGAAATGCCAAAATAATATAAAACGTTGTTTTATAAATAGTCCTGGAAACACTCTTAAAAATAAATTCTTTTGATGTTTTCACAACATCCATACCTCAGAATAGGAAGGATTGCTGATTTACTAGCTAAGAAAGCAGCCAACCAAATACTTTTTGGATCTGGTCCTTCTATTGGCCTGACAAAACCGGTAGTGACAGACCTAATCAAAGAAAATTTCCTTGTGAAATTCAAGGAAAGATTGGATGAAACAAGAAACTACAGAGTTGCAAGGAGCTCTTAAGTTATCCTGACAACACTGCAGCAAACAAATACTTGACTATGACTAGACAGAATGTGCGGCTAGTTACAGGCATTTTGACTGGTCATTGCCAAGTACGAAAGCATCTCCATGTCATGGGGCTGTCAGAATCTGCACTCTGCAGAGGGTGCCAACAAGAAAATGAGACCATCGAGCATATCCTTTACGATTGCACGACGCTCTTATTTATTAGAAGATTTGTGTTCGACGAGTATCGGCTAACACTGGCCTATATAAGAGAAGCACCTTTGGCGACGTTTTCAACTACATTAAATCTGTAGGCTGGCTCACGAGCTAGGAGGTGCCTATCATCTCAGGAGTACTCGAGTACTTTTGTAAGTACAGAGTACCAAGTACGTTAATAATTAATTTTTTATTAATCTTATGGCTTTTGTATACTATATGTATATACTAGTATAAGTAGTTTAAATATATTAGATATCCACAGTCGGGCAACTAAATACTAAGTACTACAGAAAATTTTGTGTTGTATTTAGTTGATTAATTCTGGATATGACCACAATAAAACAATAAAATCTATACCTTTCTAGGAACCAATTTTATTTGCCTTTAATATTACAAGTTTTTTAAAATTTGCATTAGTAAGAGCATGACGACGAGGGTCGTTTAACATTGTTGCAAATGAAAAAAGTCACTCCACTGCAGCAGAAGATGGTAAACATGTATTATATCGTATACAAACTTTTTTTATTGTTGGGTAGTCATCAAGCATGGACAGATCGGTTCTCTTATCCTCAAGATAATGTAAAAGCTCCAACTCAACTTTTGATTTTCTTTTATCGTGTTTGTTTACTTTCTTAGATTCTGATGTTTCGATTTCGTCAAAATCAAAAAAACCGTCATATTCGTTTTCAGCATCGTGTTCATTACTATCATTGCTGCCAGCTGTTTAGTACATGAAATAAATGTTTGTTTTACACTGTCCAGGGAGTGTAGCTCACTTTTTAGGGTGTTGAATCACCGAAGTTTAAATTTTGGACAAGAAACTGCGGCTATTAGTGCTTCTTCACATTCTAAATGAAAAACAGAGGAAAACCGTTTAAACAGTGCCTCAAGACATGCGTCCAAAATCAAATTTACACTGTAATGTCTAGGGCCCTGGAAATCGACTTTCACATTCTTCCATTTGTTGGCTAATGAAGTCAGTGTTGGAAGTAGATAACCAAAGTATTAGTTTCACCCTGTAGTATGTCCAAAGCTTTAATACTTGGCAATATTCTTCCAAATATTGGATTTCAGTTTCTTTAAAATGGGGGAGGCCCAGCCTTTGATGTAGCCTGTTTTGGTCTCGTATCTTCATACAAAATCCGAGATATGCATTCGAAATGGGAATTCCAACGGGTTTCACCAGAACTGCTTAAGGTGTTACTCAAAACATCCATTATAATTTCTCTTGTTCCTGGCCTGTCCGCCTTTGCTCATAGTTTACGACATTTGTCAATTGCATGATGGGCCTAATTAGGCCTAGGTACCGTGGGGGTAACCCACCCTCCGCACGTTAAAGATTCAGAAACATTGTTTAAATTTAATTACAAGAACATGAGAGTGCAGTCGATATTTATAAAATCTTATGGTTAAATTCTACAATTTCACCAGTAAAAACATCAACAAATTAATATTTTAAATCTACTAAATAAATAAACAATTCTCAAATAGTTCGACTGCTTTTTACCCTAATATAATGTGAAGTCATAAAACTATAAATAGCATTTTTCTCAGAATACCGAACGTCGAACACCTGTGTGCACAGCTGTGCAGTGGAACAAAATGAGTGTCCGGCGCATAGTTAACGAAACACAAATGACGTATTTCATTATGTCATGATGTTTTCATTGGTTGAAACCGAATAGGTACGTCAACTATGCCCCGGACACTCATTTCGGTCGAACAGTATATATTAGGGCGAGCTCGACGCGAACGGCATTCAGTAGTTGTCTTATTGCCACCAACTATTCAGTTGTCTTTTTGCCATCATCGCGTTCAGGTGCTTTCTGCCGACGGCACGTTACTTTCTACATTTTTACAAGCGTTTAATGCAGTTTATTTTCTGGTGCAATTTATATCTTCTACAATTATTATGGCATAAGAAATTCTACAAACAAATGTTTTCAAGTTGGTAACTAAAAAATCAACTGTATTAGTTAATCAAATTGTGATGAACTAAAATTGTAAATATTTAAAACTGTTTAATGAAGATAAGAAAATTATTATATCTAAATGGAATCAACCACTATGTATTTACTTCAGTGAAAATAGTAAATTAAAAACGCTTCTTTTTCTACTACCTATGACTCGTTAGTTATTTCTACAAAAGAACCCAATTCTTCTAACACCAGCGACATATGCTACAGAACATTTTTACCAAAGAAATATTCGGAAGTAACACCGGTATTTTTTCACCTTTATTCAGGTTTGTAAATTTCCCGTTGCGTTGTTTGATATCGATGAAAGCGCCACATAGTGGGTCAGATGTTAATTGTGTTAAAGCTGGTCGTTGTTAATCATTGGCTTCTTATGGGCGTTTCCTATCTTTATCTCTGGACTAATCAATATCTCCAGAATTGGATTTCTCTGTATAATTTTGTACTTGCCTGCTATTTTAAATTTGTTAATTGTAATTTAAAAAAAAAAATTATGATTCATATTTCTTGTTCATATTGTAATGCGAGCCATTGCATTATTCAGTCATGCTCTAATCCTCCAAGTCCCTATCTGTCTTATTTGTCTTTTGAGGCTCAACTTTATTATCATACATAATTAAACCCCTTAAGACCAAATATATGTGACGAATATGGCGAAGGCGCTTTCGAGTACATTCTAGATTGAATGTTACTAGTTTTGATGAAGAACATTCTAGAACCTTCACCATAATTTTAAATGGGTATATAAATATTGGTGGAGGAACACGGAGCAGTCAGTCGTATACAAACAGTTGTAAAGATAAATATTGAACAATCTAGACATTCGAAATATATATAAATTAGAATTCGTATTGTAAATAAGTGTTCAAATAAATTATTAAGATTCAAATAAACTATTGTTTAAAATAAACAAACGTAACAATATTTTATATTTACATGTTCGTATATTACATATTTACACCCACAATTATTATATTGTAGATACGCACTGAAGATAGCGTTATGCCGAAAGCGATTTGTATTTTATAAATAAAACGATTTCGGACAAAATACAAGGATTTTTTGATAAGATATTATTTTTTTTTATAAATTCGTAGCTCGTTGCAGTGACGTCACACAAAATAAACGTATAGAAGCGTGATAGCATACCGTTATCGTAGAAATCCATTGTTTGGTAGCCTGTTAGTCTATTTTTTATTATAAATCTCTTATCTTTAAAAAAAATTCCAAGATGTAATTGATTTGGGATAATCTATATATAATATTGATCATACCTGTTCGTATAGATAAGATAGTGCTCAAACTATTCATTAAAAATGTATCGAATAAATTCTCATATAATATAATAACAAAAACTAATTCTTTAATTAAAGGCAGTAAAATTTACATAAAAGTGGATCATTCTTATCATCTGCTTTCCATTAATACATACTTTACGTCCTTCATATAATCTAAAACAAAAATCTAATAATATTAAACGTGTTATCTCTCGCTGATAACAGTATAGTGATATCATCCGCATGATTAGTGTATGGTTAGCACCTTGTAATACATCATTAGAAACGCGCAAACTGTAAAATGTTTAAGAAAAATCGTTCGAAAATACCAAAAATACCTTCAACTAGTGATCAACCGGTCGAGGAAAATGTACAAAAATCACAAATATCACCAGTGTCGCCAGTTACGAAAAACTCTCTACAATTTTATTGCCAGTTAGCGCACGGAAGTCCAACATCGTTCGTTTCCGGCTTTGCAAACATTAAGGAACTTTACGAAAAAATCGGTGAGTGCTTCAACATGCCAGCATCAGAGATACTATTTTGCACACTCAACACCTACAAGATAGACATGAAGAAACTACTGGGAGGGCAAATAGGTTTAGAAGATTTTATATTCGCTCACACTAAAGGTCGGCCGAAAGAATTGGAACTCACAAAATCAGAAAATGCTCTAGGACTCACCATCACAGACAACGGTGCAGGTTACGCATTCATAAAACGAATAAAAGAAGACTCATTAATTCACAAAATTACCCAGATACAAGTAGGTGATCACATTGAAAAGTTAAACGGAGTTAGCATGATCGGTAAAAGGCACTTTGAAGTAGCGAAAGCTTTGAAAGAAATTCCTCTAGATTCAACTTTTACTATAAGAATTGTAGAACCAATGAAGAGCGGATTTACCGCTGTAGCTCCAAAATCGAAAGGTTCTTCGAGTAAAAAGAGTTACGGCAGTGGCAAAGAAACTTTGAGGTTTAAAGCTGACGGTAACGCAGAGATTCGAGAACAGGATGAAGTTATGGATGCAGGTATTGAAAAAATTAATAACATTTTAGAATCTTTCATGGGAATCAACGATTCGGAACTCGCGGCTCAAATATGGGAACTGTCAAAAGATAAACAAAATTCGATGGATTTTGCTGAAGCAGTGGATGACTCTGAGTTGGCTGTGTTTGAATTCAATGATGAACTGATAATAGAAATTTGGGGTGCTATTACTGACGCGCGAGATCACAGGTTGTAGATTATTAATAATAAAATTTGTTTATTTATTTTCGGTTATATTTATTCATAATTCTTAAAAACATTTCAATAGCTGCAGATAATTTTAGAAAATTTCATATTTTTTTTATTTGTAAGTTGTAATTAATGACAAATACATTTATTTCTAATCTAATCTTAATGAAGTGTGTAATCTAGTGATTTGTTCAAAACATTTTGTTTTAATTAAATAATATACTTTATTCTACAAAAAGAGACATTTTAAATTTTGAAGTGAAAAAAAATGCCTTTAAATTTGTCATACAAAATTTATAATGTATATAAAATTATTTTTAATAAGCTATTTTCGTAGACTAAATTAAGTATATACAATAAACATTTTAGTCATGCTAAAAGAACAATATTTTATAGGTTTACAATAAAACTTGACCAATGTGATGTTTTCTATAATATGTTTTAATTTCCCTCTAATATGTATAAAGAAATAGTATAGGTATTACTTGACTAATGTGGAAAATCATATATTTTGATTAAGTGCGAAAAAGTGACACTTATGCATAAGTGATATAAATTATTTTGTCTCACAAGATAATTTAATTTAAAAATTACAGCAGGTGGGCATGGGTATATTCATGAACTGAATAAATGTTAGAGACCCTTAACGAAAAAATCTGATGTGTCCAACACATGACTTTCCTATCTAGTATTATAAGCTTTTTCTGGTTATTTTGTACAACCTATTGTAGCACCTCTGTAAATGTTTAGAGCAGGGTTACTGAAAGTGTGCTCCGCGGAGCCCTGGGGCTCCGCAAAGCCTCCGCGAAGAAAATAATAGTCATAATAAAAAAAATAGGCAGTACTATCGTCACAAAAGGGAGGGATTTGGCTTGAGAACTTTTTTTTATTTTAGAAATGTATTTAGGGTTCCGTCATAATTTCGCTTTTCAAAAAGGTTCCGTCGCTAAAAAAGTTTGACAAACACTGGTTTAGAGGATAAACTAATATACAGGGTGTACCAATAAAAACTCCCAGGCCGGATATTTTGGTAAGTAATAGAGATATTTTAATTTTGTGAAAGCCAGTTCATAGAGCGCTAAGAGAGCTTCAGTTTTAGATATAAATTAATTTTAAATAGGTCAATATGTAGATGGCGCTGCGCTCAATATATTTTTTTCGATGGGAGGATCTTTCTTATATAACGCATCTTGTAAAAAATGCATTTTTAAGCAGCTTTTGTTCTATAAACTAATTCGATAAATCTATCCATTTTTGATATACAGAGTGGGTCATTCAAAATAGTTTTTCGGCATTAATCATTGGATTTTTAGAAAATGCTAAAACAAGTCGATTTTTATTCCCAATTGAACACATTTTTACAATACAGACATCTGTTATGTGCCAACCCCCTCCCTTCTACTTCTCCAACCCCTTAATTTTAAATAAGGAATGTATCATGTACGGCACATCATTAAAAAGATAATTTTATGTAAAAGATGGGCGGAAGCTAGTCAAGCGTGGGGCGATAAATAATCCCAGAGAATGTTCAAAACTATCCCTTATTGGACCTCAATTAGCTTTACAACATATTTTGGAAAAAATTCCCTTGCTTGAAGGTTACAACAGAAAAATTTACTTTTTGAGATGTCGCCAATGTTCGAAAAATGGGAAAAGGGGACAGACATCATGGCGGTGTTCTGCATGCGAAGATAAGCCACCCTTATGTGTTGGAACTTGTTTTGCAAATTTTCACTCATAATAGGTTTTTCCACGAATATTTTTCTTTAATTTGACGTTTTATTTTTGCATTATATGTTTTTTTTTAAGGTTTTTCAAAGAAAATGTGCCTTGTTTATTTATGTAATAAGTTTATAATAAAATCTATAAAAATGTTCGCAGTTTTTTCTCCATTTAGTCAACATTTGTTCTTACTACTACACGTCTGCAATAGCAGTTGTGTGTCCTAGCACATACAAATTTTCTATGTTTAGAGACATGGCTGTAATAGCAGACACTCAATGTTTTGCTGTAAAATAATCAAAAATCTCTCTTCTAGAGGCTGACTAGTACTTATTTTTACCTAAAAAAACTATTTAAAAAAAATAATAGGTGATGTTCTGAGTAGATTCAAAATTATCTAAGTGTCCCCGAATGTGTTAATAACAAGAATTTTCGAAAGCATAACAGAATTTTATGTAATAAAATATATTGAATACAATAAATTTGTCCACCTTGTAACTATATAAAATTATTCTATTGTCTACATTCATATAATAAACGATAATACTTTTTTAATACCAATTTGCTTCAAAATGACTAAATAAAGGTTTTCCTAGAAAATTAAAGTTATTTATTGATTGTTTCTAAGTAAATAGGATTATAAAGAAGATAACAAATTTTTAAACGTTATATACTATCAAACACCTTCTCGTTTCTACGCAATTTTTCAAACCATTTCATTCAACGACGTGTGATAAAAACGTGGAAATGTGGAAAAAGCGGCCCTAAGTGGCAAAACTGCTGCAACGATAACGATTTTCTTTTGCTCAAAGATATAAAATTTGAATAAAATATTTATATTCAACAGTTTATTAAAAAATATTAGGTAGATCAAGGATTTCTTTTTTTTATGACAGATGAACTTTTTAATAATTTTGTGTTGGTCTGCCAGTTATTTATTGTTATATGGTTCGATGAAGATTGTAAACGTTTGTTAAAGAAGAGACAAGAAGCTCAACAACAACTGAAACAACGTCTATCAGAAGAAAATAAATAAAAATTGAACAGACAAAAGAAATAAAATGTTTAGAGAAAAAATTCAAAAATATACAAACTAAATTTAAAAGAAATACAAAGAAATGTCAAATGGAAAGAAATATATCAGCAAATGCAACTATTTATTAAGGATAAAAATAGACATTTATTGAGAGATGTATAAAGGAATTAACCTCGAGGAAGAAATTAGAGAAGGTTAAAATCCCACATCAAAGAGAGGTAAGGTCCCTTACCTCTCTTTGATCTCTAATAAGTTTAAAAATAACAGAGGTCCTCTGGCAAAAATAGAAGGGTACCTGGTAGAAAATGATAAAAACTTAAAAATTAGGGTCGCTGAGACATACTAGGTGAATGGGCAAGGGAATGATAGTGAAAAAGATATTGGACAAAATGGTCTAAACAAGAGAGGAAGAGGAAGACCAAAAGTAAGATGGAAATAATAATTAGAAGTCGCCTTTCTTTCTCCACCCCCATTCTGTTGGATTCATGGTCAGCTGGTCTCCGTGCAACCAATCTTGCGATAGGGTCAGGAAACATTTTTTGGGCATATCTGGTGTCCGGAGGGTGTTCGCCGATGTCACATTTGAGTAAAAATCACAGAGATAAGGTCCACGTCCAGGTTCCGGTGCACCAGGAGGTCAAGGGGTCGTTTTCGACGTGAAATTTGGATTCAGCGCCTCAAAAAACACCCCCACATTGATTCTCAGGTTGTTTTTGGCGATCTTGTCAGGAAAATTCTCGGGGATGAGGTCCACGTCCAGGTTTCGGCACACCAGGTGTCCGGGAGGTATTCGCCGATGCTATATTTAAATTCAACAACCCAAAAAACCTCCGGGCGCTGAGTTTCTCTTCTTCCGCGCATAAATTTCGGGAGAGTCCCACGGAGATGACGTTCATCCCTGTTCCTGAGCTCCAGGTCGGCTGTGGGGCAATTTGAACATTAAAATCGTGATCAGCGACCTCGAAAACTCCCGATTTGGACCAGTTTTGACTCTTATTTACAAAGTTCTTTAATCTTCCAAAAGACGTCTGAAAAAATGCAATTTTTGAATGCATTTTTAACTGCGGCAATCCAGTTTGTATAAGATAAAAAGTAGGGACATTCTTTCTAACAAATTTTTTGGAAACGAATACAAAAAACTAAACATTTTTGCTTCATTGCCTCGACTAATAGTAAACTTTGACAAAATATACTCATTTAGAAAATAACCAACCGTTCACAGTCCGTAATTATTTTCGTTAGAAGAAACCTTAATTAAGTGAGGAATAAAAGACTGTAAGGGATTTATTCGGATACTTAGAATGCATGAAAACATCCTAATAACGACTGGTAGGATGGTTTATCGCTCGTAAAATAACGATGAAAGAGAAAAACGAGTTAATTTGGAAGGAAAGTAAATTTTAGGAAGTAGCACCGGGTTTAGAAATGATGTGTTCACTTAATTTTATTCTTTTTGATGTTTTTATATATATTATGTTCTGTTCCTGTACATTTATATATTTTGTTTTCTATTATTTTTATATACATATATATTTATTTTTATTTGGGCATATATTATTTATATTTTGTTTATGACCGTTTTGCGTTGGTAAATATTAATATTTCATAATTTCTATATTTAATTACGATTAAAGTTTACTTGATTCATATTTGTCCATTTCCTCTATTCCAATAGTCAACCATCCTAATTCTATACTTTGAACCCTTTTTTTTGTCCTTCGCCGATTTGGAAGTCTGTCGAACTGCGACACAGAACGAAAACGAACGCTATCGTGTTAAATTGTAGACTATACAGTTTAAAATTGATCACAACCCGCATAATTTTGTGAACCTGTTAATACGGCTTTTATTTACCTCGCATTGTGCGATTTCAAGGGAAGTTTCATCCCCAGGACATAAGGAAGAGAATTGTCCTTCCCTCTTATCCGGTAAGTTTGAGTAAACCTTTAATTTGTTCATTTACTTCTTTTTTATTTCATTTTTTTTTATTATTAAGATAATTAAATCAACACTAAAAATTAAATTTATGAACTTAGCGCCCCTATCATTACAGTCCGGAACTATTAAGAAAATAATTTTGGATATATAATATTCATTCAATTTTAGTATAACCTTTTCAGAAGCTAGTTCAAGAATCACATTATATACATTATTTTTATGTACATTACATTAGCGGTGGTTAAATATGAAGGTTTTAGTAAGTAGGCAATATTTAAAAACAATGTTTTTAATAAGTAATTCATGCAAGAAAAATATGAACGTTAATAAAAGTAGAACAGAAGCAGTAAAAGTTCCTCAAAAATTAAAAAAAATAACCAAATAAAACAGAATATTAAATAAACACAATCATTTTACCAAATAACTATTTTATAACAGTTCGTAATATCTTTTTTGAAGATTACCTGCCAAATAACAAGTACATAACATGTTTTGCCTTTTAAAAAAATTCTAAATTTACAGAAATTTTCATCAAATCCAATGTATTAATTTTAAAACGTT